GGGCCTGCTGTCCAGAGGCCCGGCTTCCAGAGCCTTCCAGTTACAACTCCGACCCCCACCTCACCGCACACACTCATTTGGGCCAGCTGGGCCGGGTCTGAGCTGCCCTCTCGGAGGCCGCAGGAGCCTTGGAGGAGCTCTGCCGCTACTGCTCCCAGCCCCAGTGTTCTGCGGCTGCCCCAGTTAGAAGTGGGACACACTGGTCCTTTTGGCGGGTGAGTTTCCCACCTCTGCCCAGGCTGAGGCACCAGGGTGGCTCCTGGTGATACCCGGGCCTCAGCAGGAGGGCTGGTAGCCCCGCGGCCCAGTGGGCCGGTGCCGGATGCTGTGTAAACCGGATGGAAAAGAGCATTCGGTCTGGCCTCATAGACACGCCATCACTGACATGCTGTGACCTGGACACATCACTTCTCCCTGGGCCCAAGTTTCCTTACTTGAAAATGGGGCAAGATGGTGCATATACTCTACAAGCATTAAAAGCGCCATCACTGCCCAGCCCACTGTCCTCGTGCTGGGACCTGAGATGCAGGCAACTGACTTGAGGAGTCTGAGCCCGGGGGACAGGGTCTCCCCCGCCGGGATCCCCCTCCCACAGGGCAGGACTCCACTTCCCTGGGTTCGATGCCCTCCCCTGTGCCCTCTGTTCCGGAGGTCCAACCACTCACATTCTCTTCCCTCTGGCCTGAACATCTTCAGAGGAAGGATACCTCCATGATTGCTGGGTCTCTGGGCCACGCTCAGGGATGGACCTTGTTGAAAGCTCTGTGGAGACCTGCCCAGTGAACAAATGAGCTGCAGTCAGGGACACACACCCACAGGCACGTGCTTAGATCGCTGGGGATCCAGAGTGAGGGGGCTGGTGCTGTGGCAGGAAAGGGGCGGGCTGGGGGCTAGGAAGTGGAGGGTGATGAGATCGTGGACTCTCAGGTTACAGTGACATGGGATGAGGCAGTCTCCTGCCGACAAGGATGGCAGTCCTAGAAGGACGGCCTGGGGGCATCTTTTCAGACACTCAGGAAGCTGAGGTGTGGTGGCCCTGGGTGCAGAGACTCTGCTGAAACATTCAGAATGGATGAGTTCCCTGAGAGTCCCAGAGCATGGCTCTTCCCATTAGGGCCTGTATTTAGGGGGAGGCCACCCAGGGTTCGGGGCACCCTCCTCCGGGGACCCCCTCATTCCCTGGACGCGGAGAGTGAGTGCTCGGATGGGGCCACTCCATCATCTCTCCATCTCGTGCGGAGGTGTGGTCACTAGGTTTGTAGTGACCTCAGGGTTCCCACCCTGAGGTCTGGTGGGAGAGGGCAACGGATCAAGGTCACCTGGGGCCCACGCAGGGATGAGACTGACCCTCATGCCTCCCAAGGCTCCAGCCAGAGCTGCCTCGAGATCCAAACTGTCTGATCTGCAAAGACAAGAGGCTAACCTTGCTTGACCAGGCCTGTCTGAATGGGAGACCCTTCCTAACAGGGGCTGGGGTCTGCTAGTGGCCATGGAGCCATTCCCCGCCCCCCGCAACTTACAGCCTGAGAAAACCGAGTTATTCAAGGTCATAGTTTTAAGTGTGGCTTCTAGGATGGGCAGAAGGAAGCAGGAAAGCCCCTCTCCCTGCTGTTCCAGGTCCATCCTGGGTTCTTCTTTTCATGCAGGAAGCTGTCGCATCTGAAAGCATTAACAAGGCAAGCCTGACCTACAGCAAAGCTTCGATTTCTCATCCCTGGGGGACTGACCCCACCATAGCGGGAAGAGGGTGGGTTCCATTTCCATTCCACCTGCTCACCCCCTTCCCAACGTGGGAGCTTCTGGCTCTCAGCCCACCCCCGCCCCGCTGAGGGCATTACTGACAGGGGCAAAGCCCCTATGTGACAGCTTTGCCTACATGTCCACATTCCCCCACCGCCATTGCCCCCCCACACCCCGCCCTTCGCTGCAGCCCGCAGGGCCTCTGCACTGCACCATTCCTCCCAGATGGGTCTCTACAGACCTATGCAATGCCCCTGCTGCTGACCCCAAGCACGGGCACCTCTGCCCCCAGCCAGGTGTCTCTCCTGGGGACCTCCCACCCTGGCAGGCAGCCCTCCTGGCATATGGTTCTTTCTCAATGGCCCTCAGAGGTTAGCTCTTGGCCCGTGAGCTAAACAGGACTGACCCCAGCCTGGTCAGAAGTGAGAGTGCAGGCCACGCCCCCTCCTCTCCCCACCCTTGCATCTGTGGGCTCCACCAGCCTGACCCTCACAAGGCTGCAGGAAAACTCCACACACACACACACCCAGCCCATGTCAGGCTCCCCCAAGAACTCTGCTCCCCAACTCTGGAAGCAGCAAGGGTAGGCCCACCAGGGTGAGATGTCGCCTTGTCTCTGCCTGTAAGCCCAGTCCTGCTGCAGCCCCTAGGGTAGGCCTCACTCCGTAGGAGGGAAAGGCCCAGCCTTCTCTTAGGAAGCTGGAGGTGAGGGGACCCAAGACGTCCAGCATACTCCCAGACTAGCTCAGGAGAGCCCTTGGACATGGGTACAGACACCCCACCCGCCGGCAGGGGGCCTGGATCCCAGAAGGATGAAAGGCAGCCACGGGAGTCCGCAAGCTTCCCACCTCTTGGCCTGACTCTTCCCGGCCTGGGCTGTTGCCCTTGGGGAGTTTGGTTTAGATGACAGGTCCTGATGGGCCTAGGTCTGTGGGATTTCCTGAGTGCGGGTCTTAAAGCTAAGCGGAGTCCCAGCCCTGCCCACCGAGGGAAGATACTGGCCCAGCAAAGAGAGGAGGCACTGCCCCCCTCCACATGCCCAGACTCTCGGGTGGGAGGGGGCAGGGGGCCCCCAATGCCCTGCCCACCCCACCCCAGAGCCCAGCTCCCCACAGGCCTTGGTTCATGTTTCTGTTGGTGACTCACTGTGACTGAGGAGGAGGCTCTTTCTATTTCTTTCTAATTTTCTGAGGGCTTCTATTTTCCCTGGCAGAGGATGTTGAGCCCCAATCTGATCCATGTGTGAGCCAGCTGAACTCGGGAGCTGTTCCCAGGGAAGTGACGTTCTATAGCCGCCACCACCCACCCCCACCAGCCTTGGGCCTCCCTATTTGACACACTCAACTGGGGGCAACAGAACAAATTCCAAGACAAAAGTTTCGAGAGCGATGATTCAGAGGCTCGCAGAGGACATTTATGGGTAAGAGCTTTCTTCATCCTACTGCTGCCAGGACCAGCCTGGGTACACACGGCAGGGCGAGGACAGCACAGGGACAAGGAGGCCCAACTGGGGGGGGTGGGGGTGGGCGTCCTCCGAGAGCCCAGGTGGGTCTTGGTCTCCTAAGGGAACTGACAAGAACTGGAAGCTGCTGGGTCGCGAGTGCTGAAATTGCGCTCGGCACAGCATGTGCAAAGTCCCTGTTTGGTCTGCGGCAGTGAGGCCGCGGAGAGCAGTGAGGTTACTTGCTGTGATCAGATGGCCAGGAGGGCGGAGCTGAGATTTAACTGTAGGGACCAGCTCTTGACATAGTCCCACTGCCTTTCTAAGTACAAACCAGTGAGCAGCGAAGGCAGGGCCTTGAAAGAAAGTGGTGAGAGAAGGGAGAGCCCCCTGGGTCCTGCCCCCAGTCCCAGGCTGAGCCAGCAGCTCACACGACACTCACTGGCTGCTGCCTGTTCATCATCTCAGGCTCTCCTGGGTTTTCCCAACTGGGCCAAACCCTCAGACAATGTTGGCTCAGGGCTGACTGCTGCTAAACTTGGCCCATGGGCTCCAGATGTGCTTTTTCTTGCTTCCTCATCCCATCAAGGAGGAACGTTCTGGGAGCTCTGGCCTTAGGTGTCATGCCCATTTGGGGCCAGTCAACATCTGCCCCTGGGGAGAGACCTATGGAAACACCAGGTACACATGGCATAACTCCCTAAGCCAACACCCATGGCAGACATTACTAATCGATCCTGGGATTCTCTGACCACCCAATCTACATGCCCCTGCTGCATCTGGTCCATATGGTAGCTGGAGCTACGGTAAACACAGTTTTAAAAAACTGGGTTCTGGTAAGAGGAAGGAGAGGAACGTCTGTTTGTCCTGGTTGGGATCTCAGCTGTTCGGAAAGCAGTGTAACCCTAGAGGTGAAGAAATGTTCTTTGCGGGGAAATAGTAAAAGAAACCGTAGGGGAGGGGAACCGACCGCAAACATCTGTGGCTCCTATTTGCGTGGTGAGTGAACTGTTCCCGTGGTAGGTCCCAGCACCCAGGTTCGTTGGGTTGAAGGTACCCATCCTCTCTTGCCAGCTGGCCCATGTCCTCAGGGGCAGTGTCTGATTTCCTATGCCTTTGTGGCCCCTACATCTTCCACGCGGAGCTGGGCTCACACGCACCGCCCCTAAAATGTTCCCTTGATCTGACCTGGCTTCACCTGAGGCTGTACCATCTGCTAGAAGGGGGCCACATAAGCCAGCTGCTGCCTCCCACCTCCGTGCCGGGCTCTTCATCTGGGATCTGCTGCTGGGAGTGCAGGGGAGGGCAAGAACCCCCTGAGCTTGCATGGAAATTGCTGTGTGAGTGCTGAGTCCCTCCACACCCCTGACAGCCCATTCCTATGAATGACACACACAGTTTAATACAACTTGAAAGGCATCTCGTCCGTCCCTCCCTGCTCCATCTCTGACCCCCCCTCCAAACTTGACCTAGTATGTCAGTCCCTTGGGAGGGGAGGGGCAATCTTACATGGGGGCTCCTACCCCCAGCAGAGCAGTTAGCCTGCCTTGAGGGCGGTTTTGCGCCTGTCCCCCTCACTAGAGAGTGAATTCCCAAAGCGTGGTCCCTCCCAGGGGGACCAGCACAGGGCCCGGCTCTCATGGACCTGGGACGTTAGCTGGATGTCTGAATGAAGGCTGGTGACAGCTGGCAGAGCTGCCAGGCCAAGGCTCCAGAGGGAGGAAAGGATAGGTGGGGACACTGCTGCGGGTCCCGAGATGGGGAGGGTCCTCGAGGCCTGAGTTCGTGGCTTGGCTCTGCCATCAGAGGTCCCGCTCACCTCCAGCCGGTTCTGGGGCATCTCGCCTCCAGTTCCCATCCGGCTTGGGGGCGGTGTCGCAGACGGCGCGGGGCAGGGGCGTCGGAGCGCTCCTACCCGCACCCTCTGGACCTCGCGTGCCCTCCGACGCTCTCTCCCTGCGGCCTTTCTTCCAAGGCACGGGCCCCGGCCCGGGACACAGCCCGCAGTTCCCACTCCGGGAAGTGCCAAGCGCGCGCGGCGCCGGGACTGCTCGGCTCCCCCCGCAGCCCCTCCGTCCACGCCCGGCTCCTCCTCCCCTTCCTCCTCCTTCCCCGGGGGTGGGGGGAGCCGGCTCCGGAAGCCCCAGCACCCCCGCCCCGGCCGCCTCTGGCGCTTTGGAGAAGGCGGTCCGCGCGGGAGCGCGCCACGCGGGACCTCAGCTCCCAGCCGCCGCCACCGCCTCGGAACCCCCAGACCATCCCTGAGCCCACACCGACCCCTGAGCCACTGCCCGTCCCGGAGCCCTCAGCGCCCCACCCCCGAGTCCCCTGCCCACCCCGAAGCCCCCCCCCCCAGCGCCCCTCCCCGGAGCCCCCGCCCGCCCCTCCCCGGAGGGCCCCCCCCGCCCCCCGTGCGGGCCGCGACCATGGCGGTCCTACGCGGGGCGCCCCTGCTCGGCTGCCTCCTGGCGCTGCTGGCACTGTGCCCCGGGGGGCGCCCGCAGACTGTGCTGACCGACGACGAGATCGAGGAGTTCCTCGAGGGCTTCCTGTCGGAGCTGGAGTCCGAGCCCCGGGAGGACGACGTGGAGGCCCCACCACCCCCTGAACCCACCCTTCCCGTCCGCAAAGCCCAGACAGGGGGCAAGCCGGGGGCGCGTCCGGGGGTGGCCGAAGAGGGTAAGAGCACCGGGTAGGGGTGGCCCTCGGTGTGATGGGGGGCCTCGGGGAGACCTGCACCTCAGGCTTGAATGGCGGGCCTCGGTGGTGTCTGGCCGAGGTCCAGTCTGCCCAGCGTGAGGAATGGCTCTGTAAGGCACAAGAGAGCCCAGATATCTGGCGGGACACTGTGCCAGGCAGAGGTCAGTGCTGGCTTGGAGCCCTTTGGGTTTGGAGACGCATCCAGCAGGTCCACTGCCCAGTGGAACTGGGTCCTCCTAATCCATCATGCACGGCCCCAAACCCCCAGAGGGTCTAGACATGAACTAACTGGGGACTTTGCTGCCCCCTGCCCAGGTCAGTTTGAACGGGAACGGCCCTGCCGTCCTAATGGGGCCACTCAGTCTGATTGTGGCACACACTGGCCGTGCCCACACCACTGCCAGAGTCCCAGCCTCCAGCCTTCCCTGGGAAGGATCCCCAGCACCCTGCTGCCTGGCCTCCTACTCCAGGAGCACAGAGCCGGGGGAGGGTGTTGCAGAAGACCCTCATCTCCACAAGGCTCCCAGAGGCACTGGGCAGTAGTCCTGGGTTATTGTGAAAATTAAACGAGGTGATGCATCACCAAAGCATTTAGCCTAGTGCCTCTTATATAATCAGTTGTCAATAAATCTTAGCTGTTTATTGTGACCTTCCAGAGGGTGGGCAAGGGTCTTGCTGATCTCCCTCCCAGGAGACTCCAGGGCACCATCCATCATTCCTGAGGTCAGCAGCCCCTCCCCTTCATCCCGCTCTAGATCTTTCCTGGCTCCTCCCTGGGACCGACCTCGGCCTCCCCCGCCATTCCACCATTCCAGTAGAGATTGCTGTCCCGGCCTCTTGCACGCTGCTGTGGCAGCTCTGTTTCTCCTGACTGTCTGCGTTTTGTAGATTTTCCAGTATTTCGGTCATGTGGCCCCCACTTCTCCATTACATTTTCAACAGCATTTGCTCAGGGGCCTGGAGGATTCCTATAGGCAGCCCTAGGCCCTGCCCCTGCTTCCTCCCTCCCCCAGACTCTGAGATGGGTGAGCAGCTGCAGTGCCCACCTACCCCTCTGTCCTCTCTGTGGGGCCTCAGGACCCCCTATGGTTATGGCTTCCAACCCACCCCAGACTCCTTACCCCTGGATAGGGGATAGCCCATGAGTATCACTTTTCTTTGAAGCTTTTCTAGCTTCAGAGGGGCCCCGGGCCCATGCCCTTTACTTTGTGTGGCAGTTGGCAAGGATGAGACTGCCTACCCCTTTAGACTGGGCACTCTCCCCAGGCCTGGATGGCTTAGTCACCTCTCTGCCCCTTCTGTGCCCAGCACAGAATAGTGGGCCCTGACTGGCCAAGGGGCCGTATGGTGAAAGAGTGGATTGTGAGGTGCTCCTCTGGAGGTTTTGGCAAATGGGAGGACGAGGGCCTACCCCCTGGGAAGCTGAGCTATCCAGGTCAAGGTGTGGTGGTGACAGAAAGCCCGTCCCAGCTCTGCCATGACTGCAAGTGGCCTAACCTCTCAGTTTCCCCCATCTGGGAAATGCAGGGCTAACAGCAGCCCCTCTGCCCAGGTTGTAGGCACCCTGCAGGGGGTGGGGGGGTACATGGGGCATAGAGGCGGTTCTTCATTGATTTTACCTGAGTCTGCATCTTGAACAGCACCTCCAGGAAAAGCCAAAGACAAAGGGAAGAAAGGAAAGAAGGACAAAGGCCCCAAGGTGACCAAGCAGCCCCCGGAGGCGTCCTCCAGGCCGCCCAAGAAGCCCAAGGAGAAGCCACCCAAGGCCACCAAGAAGCCCAAGGAGAAGCCACCCAAGGCCACCAAGAAGCCCAAGGAGAAGCCACCCAAGGCCACCAAGAAGCCCAAGGAGAAGCCACCCAAGGCCACCAAGAGGCCTCTGGCTGGGGAGAAGGCCCCCATCCCAACCCCCTCCGAAAGCCCGAAGTGGCCACTGCCCCCAGTTGCCAGCCCTGGCCTTGAAGAGCTGCCCCAGGAGGGAGGTGTGTGCTGGCTCTTCTGAGACTGTGGGGCTCTGACCTGCTGGGCTGCAGGGAGAGGGGGCTGAGGGCGGGTCCCTGAGGCCCTGCCTCTCGCAGACCCTCAGAGCCCCCAGTCCGGGTGGGCGCTGCGGCCTCACTGTTGTCCCTCCCTCAGTGCCGCTCCTCCCCTGGGGAGGGAGTGCTTGGCAGCCTCGTGGTGGGGGGTGGGGGGCGGCTTGCTCTCCACCGTCCTGGGATCCGTCCCCTGGGCCCCATACAGAGCCACCTGCCCACAGTGTCACTGGGCTCTGAGCCTGCAGGGTGCCCGCCTGCTGGGGCAGCTTTGCGACAGGTCCTCCCAGACAGCAGGGCCTGGGCTCCCCAGAAAGCCGTCCAGCTCTCTCTCTCCCCCCCCCCCGGGTGCTTAGGGCTAGAGCAGCCCGGGCCTCCCGGGAGTGAGCTGTTCAGGGGGTGTCGGCAGGGCTCGGGTCTCGTGGAGGCTCGCGGTGCAGCCAGTGGTCAGGGCAGGCCTCCCGCCCACCTGCTCCTGGGGTTTGTGTTGCAGACGGGCCCCTCCCAGATCCCTGGCAGGGCCCAGCAGGAGAGACCGACGTGGTGCGCCAGCCTGGTGAGTGGGCGCCGGCCACCTGGCCTCAGGGCACCAACCGCCCTGGCTTGCTGGGTCTCTGGGGTGGGCCGGGGTGGCGGCGTCGGGGAGTGCCTTCGATGATGAGGCCACAAGCGCTCTCCCTCAGAGCCGGAGGAGGAGACAGAGCAGCCCACACTGGATTACAACGACCAGATAGAGCAGGAGGACTACGAAGACTGTGAGTAGGACCCTGCCCCCACCCCCGGCCCCCGGAGGCCCCGCCTCCCCGCCTGGATCCCACCCCCGGCCCCCGGAGGCCCCACCCTCCCTGGCCCGGCTCCGAGCGCCCCCCTCTCCCCCAGTTGAGTACATCCGGCGCCAGAAGCAGCCCAGGCCACCCCCCAGCAGGAGAAGGCCGGAAAGGCTCTGGCCCCAGCGCCCGGAGAAGGCTGAGCCGCCTGGGCGGGGGTTCGAGGCCCCGGAGGAGAGGATAGGTAGGATGCGGGCAGACTTGGGGGGCGGGGTGCCAGACGCGGGGGCTCCGGCTCACCCCTGCCTCCCACCTCCACAGAGCCGCCTCTGAAGCCGCTGCCGCCCAACTACGGGGACGGCTACGTGATCCCCAACTACGACGACAGTGAGTGCCTAGGGCCCTGCCCTCTGCATCCCAAGATCGGCTGCCTGTGCCTCCAGCTCGGTGGCAGTTACCTGGCCACCCTCTCCGGCCTGGCCGCCCTCCCCTGACCTCCTCGCTCAGGCTGGGTCTTCCTGGCTCCCAACTTCGCTCTTCCCCACATCGCCCTGAGCCCCAGCGGGCTTCACTCTGGGGCCCTCTGAGCTCCGGTCCTGGCCATCTCGCCCCTCGCCACTCGCCACTCCCATGCTGCCTTCCGCTCCCTCCTGCTCCCGGCCCCTTTGGACCCCGTTCCCCTCCTCCTGGCCTCGGTCCCCATCAACCCCTTGGCCCCAGCTCAGCCCTCCAGACCCCTCTTCCTGCCACAGGTGCCAGTCGTCCTTCGGGGCATGTCCGATGTCCGTGCCCCACTCCCTGCCCAGCCTTTCCGCACCTTTCTCCGGGCCACGCCCTGCTGGGGGGCCAGGCTGGTGACTCGCCCGGGGTCTCGCTCACCCCACCTGTGCCCAAGCAGCCTCCCCCTCCAGGAGGACCCTACCTCCTCGTCTCAGCCCGCCTGAACTCTTTAAGGCCCACCCTGATCTCACGTCCTCACCTTGCGCACCGCGTGCCCGGTCCGGCCCACTGGGCTCCTGTGAACCCAGGAGTCCCGGCTCGGGGTGGGCCATCTCATCAGGGCTCTCCCTCCCCACAGTGGACTATTACTTCCGGCCTCCCAGGCCCCAGAAGCCTGACCCTGGGCTGGAAACAGATGAAGAGAAGGAGGGGCTGAGTGAGTGGAACCAGGCTGCCCCCAGCCCCCAGTGCAGGCCTGACCCCCACCCCCACCTGCCCCCTGAAGCCCCCCTTAGCCCGGGGCTAAGCCGACAGGCCCTTCCCCACTTCCACCCTTCAGAGAAACCCAAAAAGGAGGGCAGCAGGCCCAAGGAGGAGGAGACGCAAGACAAGTGGACTGT